TTACGTTAAGTACGATAACTACTTATTTACGTAACGTAAGTTACGTAGTAGTGTGTGTGTGTGTGTGTGTGTGTGTGTGTGTGTGTGTGTGTGTGTGTGTGTGTGTGTGTGTGTGTGTGTTGGAGTTAATTCACACACACACTTGTGGTCAGGTTGGTTACACCGCCGTTGCTATGGTTACCTGCTGTTTGCAGTTAATGCAGACCAGAAGTTAAACTGTCGACTTGAATATATTTCGCCAATCAGAAACCACCAAGAGTCAGATTTATTTTGGTGCATTTTCTGCATTTCACTTTGGTTTCCCAGGGCTAAAAACTCAAACTAAATATAAAAATGGTATTAAAGAGCAGGGCGGGAAGTTTTCCTGCAACAAAGCCATAAGTTTCATCTTCAAAATAGGTAGAATCAGTGTTGAATACTACTTTTCCTGACCTCTGACCCTCTCTCTCTCTCTCTCTCTCTGTGTCTCAGGTGATTCTCCGGGCTCCGTGAACTTCGTCCTCTCTAAAGAAGGCAGTTCTGACGTCTCTCTGGTGGACGAGGCCAACGTCTGGCTCTTCCTCCGCCTCGCCAAAACCAACCGCAGCCGAGCGAAGGTCTCCATCCGCCTCTTCCAGCAGCGAGACAACGGCCAGAACGACGTCCTGCTGGCGGAGAAAAACGTGGACACTCGACGCAGCGGCTGGCACACTTTCTCCGTCTCCTCTGCGGTTTCAGTGTTGCTTAAAAGCGACGGTGAATCAACGCTAAATCTCCGAGTGTCCTGCCCTCTGTGTCCGGAAGTCGGTGCCAATTTAGTCCTCGTTTCGGGTCGATCAAACCAACGAGAACAATCCCATCGCCCCTTCCTGATGGCCGTAATTCGCCCGGAGGATAACCTGGAATCGAGGCGACGAAAGAAACGAGGGCTCGAATGCGACGGGAAAGTGCGAGTTTGCTGCAAAAGGCAGTTTCACGTGAACTTCAAAGACATCGGATGGAACGATTGGATCATCGCGCCGCAAGTTTACACGGCAAACTACTGCGAGGGAGATTGTCCGATTCACGTAGCGAGCATCACTGGATCCTCGTTATCTTTCCACTCCACCGTCATCAGCCACTACCGGATGAGAGGCTACAGCCCGTTCCAGAACCTCAGGTCCTGCTGCGTGCCCACGCGCTTACGAGCCATGTCCATGCTCTACTACAACGAGGAGCAGAGGATCATCAAGAAGGACATCCAGAACATGGTGGTGGAGGAGTGCGGCTGCTCGTAGACTTTTCAAAAACTAAAAAATAAGTTTTCTGGAGGATCCGGACCCCGAACGAGGGGTCTGGGGATTTTTGTTTTGTTTTTGAAAACCCAGTTTAGATTTAAAAACCTTCTTCTGAGCGACTGCGTTATGGATGTATAAAGACTTTGTTTTTTTAGGCCAATCAGAAGCCAGTATTCATTTTTTAACCAATCAGATTCAGATTAAATTGTATTTTTTGGTGCATTTTTTATTTAAGTTTGGAATTCCTGGTGCTAAAAACTAAAACAAACTAAATCTAAAAATTATATAAAACATTTAAATGATCAGGGCGGGTTATTGGCAGAAAAGTCAGATATTTCGTCTTCAAAATAAGTGGAATGAGTACTTTTGGTGCATTTTTTTATTACGTTCCTTTGCATAATGCACACATTAAAGGATACCAGATTTAATATTAAAGAAAGCGCTATTTTACGCTATTTACTTTGGAGATGCTGTACGTGGTTACATCTAAACTGGGTTGGAAAGACTTCGGACGCTTGAGACGCTTTTTGGGATTAAAACTCTCCGTCCATCAGAACTCAGAAAGAAAGCGTCTCCACGGCACTTTCGGAAAAGAAAAAAAAAAAAGAAAAAAAAGAAGAATATCTAATATATTTTTGCTACAAAAGGAGGAGGAGCTTATTTATGTGGCTGAGACGTTCAAGCACCGCTCCACCTGTCGGATCTTTGAGAGACGAGGTGCCTGAAAAACTACTAACAAAAAAAAAATCTCAAAACTATGCAACTTGTTTCACGTATTACTTATTTTACTTTGTTTACTTTCTGTCAAAAAAGGAAAGCAGAAGAAGATTCTTTTTGTATTGTTTTTTTGGAAGTGTGATGTGTGTGTGTGTGTGTGTGTGTGTGTGTGTGTGTGTGTGTGTGTGTGTGTGTGTGTGTGTGTGTGTGTGTGTGTGTGTGTGTGTGTGTGTGTGTGCGTGTGCGTGTGTGTTGAGAGATACTTGAAAGAAACAAGTTGGCTCGGCTGCTGGAACCAAACCCTTCTTTTGTTACTATGTTAATGTTATAATTATTATTGTCCGTAAGTATATTAATAATTTTATTGATAATAATATTTAGGCAGAATTGTTGTGTTATTATTATTATTATTGTATTGTTTTCATTTGATTTGTATTTGTTTGCACTATAGCGACACTCAGATTAGCCAGAGACGTAACGTCAAAAAACAAACTTTAAATGTTTTGAATTGAAGGCCAGATTTTTAAAAGACTGAACTTCTCAAATACCTTTTCTTACTTTTCTCATTTTAAGTGGACAATTTTCTCAAAACCTTCCCTAAGCTTTTGGAAATAAAATCCCATTTGTATTAAATGTCCAACATAACTCGAATTAGAAGCTGTGGAAAAATATATCAATGTTTAAAAAATCACGTAAAAATACAAATTTGAAAAATATGTTTTTTTCCATTCATTTGAACGTAGCGTCAGTTTGCTAGCTGGTGGCTAACGTGTTGAGAACCAGCACGCTAACGGATTATTTATTATTATTGGCATTAAAGTATTCAAGTATATTAAGTATGACAAGGATGCACCCACAATCGTTTTTAAATGTAAAAAACTAAGAAGATATTATCTCCATGTGCTGTTAGCAACTACAGGCTAACAGGTAGCAATGCTATCTGGTCAGTTAGCTCGAAAGATACTCAATACAAAACATTTAACGTCCGTAGCATGACAAATGTTTTAACGATTAAAAAAAAGACAGAGGGTGAGATCCAGAGCGCTGATGAACTTAAACGTAACAATAAGATGAACAAAAAGCACTTAAAAGAAGAAGAAAAACGTGCATTTGCCTCAAAACAAAAAATATAATCAGACATTTCTGCGCTCAGACAAAGCCTAGATATTCACTGACAGCTAGCCAAGCGCTAAACTTAAGCACAAGAACAAAACTCGGTAAAATAAATGTATATCTTTGTCTCTCTTAAGTGTCACCGGGTGTTTTGATTGGTATTAACAGGAGGCCACTCAAACGGGTTTTAAACACCAAAAATGTGCATTCATTAGCATAATATAGCTAAATTATGCTAATGGTAATCAGTCAAGGTTAATTGAATGCACTTTGGATACATTTAAGTTGTCGTTTCACATTAATGATCCCGGACGATTCGTATTTACTGATTTGGTTTGAAGTGAAAAGCAGCTAGCAGTTGTTACCAAGAGGTTTTTAAACACATTTGAATTATTTTTTTGTTGTTGTTTTGTCAAGTTTTTAGTCTGCGTTAGAACACCAAAGAGTCGGGTTTGTGCACTTGTTTGTGTGAGAGATAAAACTGTTGAAGTTACGTTCAATGACGCTGAAAAAAAACAAAAAAAAGTAAATGTACAACCTGATTTGTGTCCATTTTGTGGGTAAAAAAAATACAGAAAATTCACTGAAGTTTCATAAAGAGGGATGTTTTTGTATTTATGCGTTTCCTTTGAGATTCATGTTTTTATTTCCTTGCACATCAAGAACTCCATTTCCCACAATGCTTTACAAACTGAAAGACAATCCACCAGATCGTGTTGTTTTCTGAGTGTTTCCGTGTCGTATGTGTTTATATTAGTATTGTCGACTCGTCACCAAAAGTTAAGAGTGTCCCTTTCTGATGAAGTCACGCCGCTTTGTTGTTATTTTTATTGTTTTATAAGATGGAGGGGACCCTCTTCTTCTTCTGGGACACAAACAAAATGTCAGTGCGGAAGAAAAAAAAAGGAAAAAAAGTATCGTTTACTCTTTTTATCGAGACAGAAAATACTGACACTGAACGAAGTGGACAAAGAATAAAAAGTCTATTTTTTATTCTGTATATATGGAAGTGTCTGTTGCATTGCTTTGTTGTACAAATCAAATGTGCTTGTGGCATTTTTCTAATCTAATTTATTTTATTGTTTTTGTTTTTCTGCTTCACCATTAAAGTTTAAAGGATGTACACGAAGGAGATGTCTCTGGTTCTTCAAGAAAACCCTGATGTTAACCATAAAACTGTCTTCATTTAAGTAGAAGTACTCAGAGCGTGTACTTGAGTAAAAGTAGAAGTACTCAGAGCGTGTACTTGAGTAAAAGTAGAAGTACTCAGATCTTGTACTTGAGTAAAAGTAGAAGTACTCAGATCTTGTACTTGAGTAAAAGTAGAAGTACTCAGATCTTGTACTTGAGTAAAAGTAGAAGTACTCACATCTTGTACTTGAGTAAAAGTAGAAGTACTCAGATCTTGTACTTGAGTAAAAGTAGAAGTACTCAGAGCGTGTACTTGAGTCAAAGTAGAAGTACTCAGATCTTGTACTTGAGTCAAAGTAGAAGTACTCAAATCTTGTACTTGAGTCAAAGTAGAAGTACTCAGATCTTGTACTTGAGTAAAAGTAAAAGTACTCAAATCTTGTACTTGAGTCAAAGTAGAAGTACTCAGATCTTGTACTTGAGTNGAAAACAGGGCATGTTTGTTTTTTTCTTTGAGGGAAATAGTTTTCTTGAAGCTGTTGTTGGCCTGTGGAAAAATGTAATCATAAGAAATGACTCTGGAAAAGCTGCAGATAGAGCCATAAGAAATGAATACAACTGATTATTTAATGTTTAATGTTGTTTTTTATAGGCAATCATTGAAGCTTTGTTAGTTCCAGGTTTAATATGTGCAATAAGTTCATTTCAATAAGTTCTGCAATAAACATTGAACCAGTCCGGCACTCGACTAGTACCCATTTCTTTATTTTGACCCACTGTGTGGACTGTTGAGTTTGACTCAAGGGGTCGGACATATCTAAGCGGTTGCCCAATCACAACAGAGCCAGCTAACAGACAGAGGGTGAAAAGAGGTGCTGCAGCACAAATATGTCCTCTTTAAATGAATAAAAGAGGTCTTAAGCTACTTCAAGCAAACTGTAACTTGCAGAAGGCCATGTCTACAGTAGAGCTAATGGCATTTACTGTGTGATCGTTTACCCAGCATGACAATTATACTAATGCTCCATTAGAAGGGTTTATGTTATGTATGTGTAGAGTCAATAGCAGGGTGTCTTAAACTGATCCCTGTGGGACACCTTTATCAAAAACATAAGGACTAACCCTAACCCTTGAAAACATCAGCAACAACATCTGGCCTTTACCAAAAAAAGTGTTATTTGAAACAGTCTCCAGCAGAAAAATTCAAACCCAATGTCTGCACAACACATTTATAAATCAGTTGCACCAAGAACACGGAAAGAAAGCAGAGTCACATTTTCTCACTTACATTAGATTTTGATTATATGTGGCGGCAATACATTACTGAGATGTTCACCATTACACCGCTCATTGTTCTTTTCGCCTTTAGCTTCTTGTTAATATTTGTTGGACAATCAAACCCAGATGAGAAATAATAGACCGACACTGTAATTACTCAGCCATGATAGAGATTTTGATGCCAAAGAGTCTCTCCAAGCTATTATTACAACGCTTCTCATTATTGTTTTCATTATTACTGGCTCCACATCTGCATATTAGCATTGGCTCACTGTATCGCCTCTGCTGGTATTTTTTATATGGGTGCAATCCACCGTTATGGCCCTAAGAGTGTGGGCTGTTGCCAGTGTTCTGCATACCAATTAGAGGCTGATTAACAGCGATGCCCGGAGAGATGGTGGGGGAGGGTTGTTTTTCTTTCCGGAGCTGAGGGTGACCTGATGGAGAGGGTCCATTACGTATACAAACGCACACAACTAGGAATATACCGTAGAAACACACAAGGCCTCAGGTTAGAGCTATTTATCGTTAGCCATTTCAATGTGACATCTATGTAGAAGCTGGGGAATTATCGGCAGAGCATTGTTCAGTACCGAGCTGATGGAAACATAATTTGTACACCACTTTGTCTGAGGCCACCGTTGATTTAAAACCATTTATAGTGAGCCTCTTTTGGAATTCCAGGTGAACGTGTGATAAATGATGGCCGCTTTTACACACTTCCCCTCCTTCCCTCTCCGTATTTTACATTTAGGATCTTAAGTACAACTCAGGAGTACAACACAATGTGAATGTGAACCAGGCACTCAATTATTATTGTTTACACAGTACACATAATTTTGGTTGGCATATAATGTCTGCTGCTCTTTCTTTTGGAACAACAAGCATGCCACTTCCTGATCAGAACAAATTGGGCAAGACTTCAAATGTAACGAGTGTGCTATTTTTTTTGTTTAATGGGAAATAATATTGGGAGGGATGAAACCCTCTTTAATGGTCCCACATGCAACGCACACAGCACACACAGTGACATGTGTTCTCTGCTTTTAACCCATCCTAGTACCAGGAGTCTAGTACTAGGAGCAGTGGGCAGCTATTGTACAGCGCCCGGGGAGCAATGGGAGTGGGAAGGAGGGTGTCCGGTGCCTTGCTCAAGGGCACCACGGCAGGGCAGGAGGTGAACTGGGACCTCTCCCAGTAGCAGGACACACTCCATATTTAGGTCTGGTCGGGGACTTGAACCGGCGACCCTACGGCTCACAGTCCGAGCCCCTACTGACTGAGCCACTGCCGGACTAACGTGTGGCTTACAAACATTAACGTTACCAATAATAAACAGCAGGGCTTTTTGTGGGTGCAGTTACACTTTAACGCTTTTAACTAAATGCTTACATTAACATGTTGACATGCTCACAATGGCAACGTAATGTTTAGCACTTATAACCTTTATCATCTCACCTAATAGTATACTAGAAAGCTAAAATGTCAGAAAGTTCAGCAAAGTGATTAATTGCCTGAGCACCGCAGATATCTGGAAATAGTGTGGTAGGCACCCAATAGTGTTCTGGACATTTCAATAAAAACCCAAAGTGTCAACCTGCTGT